CAATCCGGCCAAGCCGGAGAGAGTCCTGAAGATCGGAGCCAAGCTCCCCGAAGACCTGAAGGCTGGCATCACCGAAGCCCTCCGCGCCTACTCCGTTGTTTTTGCATGGGGGCCGGAGGACATGCCAGGAATTGACCGAAGGGTTATCACCCACCGCCTTGCGGTGGACCCTTCGGCCAAACCGGTACAGCAACGAAGGAGGCCCCTCTCGGCCGAGAGAAGGGAATTCGTGAAGAAGGAAGTATCCATGCTCCTCTCCATCAAACACATCAAGGAGGTGAAATACCCTTCTTGGTTGGCAAACGTAGTCCTCGCACAAAAGCCTCCTACCTTCCGCATGTGCGTGGACTATACGGATCTAAATAAGGCATGTCCCATGGACCCCTTCCCTCTGCCCAACATTGATCAACTAGTGGATGAGACCGCGGGATGCGAGGTCATGTCATTCCTCGACGCATTCCGCGGATATCACCAAATCTACATGCACGAGGAAGACGCTGAAAAAACTGCCTTCATGACACCCGAAGGCATCTTCTGCTATCTTGTGATGGCCTTCGGCCTCAAAAATTCAGGCGCCACCTACACACGCATGGTGGCTAGGGTCTTCCAAGCTGTCTTAGGACGCACTATGGAGGCTTACGTTGACGACATGATCGTCAAAAGCAAGAAGGCAGGCACCCACGCCAACGACCTCCGGGAGATTTTTGCCATCATGCGAAAATTCAACCTCCGGCTAAATCCAAAGAAATGCACCTTCGGCGTACAGGGAGGAAAGTTCTTAGGCTACATGGTCAGCCGAAGGGGTATTGAGGCCAACCCCGAGAAAATTCAGGCCATCATCAACATGGAGCCCCCACGCAACGTCAAAGAAGTCCAACGGTTGACGGGTCGCCTGGCAGCCCTCAACCGTTTCCTCTCAAAGTCAGCCGAGAGGGCTCTCCCCTTCTTCCAAATCATGAGGAAGACGGCAGGTTTTCAATGGACATCTGAATGTCAGGAGGCCTTCGATGAACTCAAGAAGTACCTCTCTTCCCCCCCAGTGCTCTCCAAACCTAAGGTGGGGGAAACTTTGTACTTATATCTCGGTGTTAGCCCTGCGGCTATCAGCTCAGTGCTGATCCGAGAGGAAGACGGCATCCAACATGCCATCTTCTACGTCAGCAAAACCCTCCGGGAAGCCGAACTCAGGTATTCTCCCGTCGAGAAGACGGTGCTAGCCATCGTTTGGACCGTCAAGAAGCTTGGCCACTACTTTCAAGCTCATCCGGTCCAAGTGCTCACTCATCAACCCCTCGGCGCCCTCATGAGGAGTCCCACTAGCTCCTCCCGGATGGTAAAATGGGCCATCTTCCTCAGCCAATACAACATAGACATCCGTCCGAGGCCTGCCATTAAGGGCCAAGCCCTGGCAGACTTCGTAACGGAATGCACCGCAAGATCAGCGGTGGATGAGGAGCCTTCGGCACCCCTAGACGAATGGTGGACCCTCTATACCGACGGCTCCTCGGCTACCAAAGCATGCGGAGGGGGAGTGGTTCTCATTACGCCCGAGGGTTTCCGCGCCTATTATGCAATCCGCTTCTCCTTCAAAGTCTCCAACAACGAGGCCGAGTACGAAGCCCTCCTATGTGGCCTTCGGCTGGCAGCAAATCTGAGGGCCAAGATGATCCACGTCAAGTGTGACTCCAAGCTTGTCGTGGGGCAAATTTCCGGGGAGTACGAGGCCAAGGAAGGAAGGATGAAGCAATACAAGGAGGCTGCCAAGGAGTTGCTTAAGGTATTTGAGGCACATTCCCTCACCCAAATACCGAGGGCTCAAAACTCTGAGGCCGACATTCTGTCCAAGCTCTCGGATGAATCCCCCGAGCACCTCTCAAAAATTGCAAGAATCGAGGAGCTCAGCCTCTCAAGCATCCACGCAACCCCCATTATGAATATTAACCCAAGGTCGGAGGATTGGATCTCCGACATCATCACCTTCATCACCACAGGGCAATTGCCCCAAGACGAAGCCCGCGCCAGGTTAGCAAAGCTGAGGGCTCCCAGCTACGCCATCGAAAACGGGAGGCTTTACAAGAGATCCTACAACGGCACCCTCCTTCGGTGCCTTCATCAAGATGAGGCCGAAGTCGCCATGGAGGAAGTACACAGCGGCACCTGCTCAGCTCACCAGGGACCCTTCTCCATGTCACGAAGACTCATAGTTCAGGGCTACTTCTGGCCCACGATGGCTAGAGATTGTGCTGATCTAGCCCGAAGGTGCACCGCTTGCCAACACTTTCAGAAGGCCCCCGGCAGACCAGCGGTCAACTATGCTCCCATCAGCACCGCTATACCCTTCTCCAGATGGGGGATCGACTTAGTAGGCCCTCTGCCGAGGGGTACCTCCAACAACCGGTATATCATTGTGGCCATTGACTACTTCACCAAATGGGTAGAGGCCGAACCCCTCGCCAGCATCACGGAGGCCCGGTGCCGTCACTTCGTCCTCAAGAACATTCTCACAAGATTTGGCGTCCCCCAACAAATCATCTCCGACAACGGGACTCAATTCGAGGCAGCCCCCTTCTGTGCCCTCCTTGAAGCTTGGGGCATCAAGCACACATTCTCTTCCGTTGCCTATCCTCAGGGCAACGGGCAGGTAGAGAACGCCAACCGCACCCTCCTAGAGGGGTTGAAGAAGAAGCTGGAAGCCGAAGGGGGAGGCTGGGTAGAAGAGCTTCATAACATCTTATGGGCCTACCGCACCACCCCTCGGCGTGCAACAGGCGAAACACCCTTCTCCCTATGCTATGGCTTCGAGGCTAAGGCTCCCACAGAAGTGACTCTTCCCACCCGAAGGGTTGAGCAATATGAGCCCGAGGCAAACGAAGCCAACATGGCCCTCGACCTTCATCTCATCTCAGAACGCCGAGAGCAAGCCTTCATCAGGGCTGAAAACTATAGGAGACAAGTCAAAGGATACATCGACGCCAAGGTCCGCTCCCGGGAATTCCAGGTGGGAGATTACGTCCTCCGACGAAGGGAGGCCAGTCTACCCACCGAAGGAGGGAAGATGGCGCCCAAGTTTGAGGGCCCCTACATCATCTCGGCCATCATCAAACCAGGGACATACAAGTTAAAACGTCCTAATGGGACAGAGATTCCTAGACATTGGAATGTGCACCACCTAGTGAAATTTTATCAATGAGTGGCCAAGCCCTCATCCTCAACGAGTGTAAATGTTCAATGGCCCAAGGCCCCGTCTGTTCTTGAAGAATAATCAAAAGGCCAAGCCTTCATCACCTACATATTGTACAAGCGGCCCAAGGCCCCCTTTTCTCCTACACATGAGTGGCCAAGCCCTCGTCTCTTCACCATAAAAGGCCCAAGGCCACTCCCTCTTATGAGGGGGAACAACAATTTAGGTACCAAGTACCAAGTGTATGGGTCACCCCCATCACTCTTTGAAAACACCAAGAGTTTTCAAAAAACTTTTACATATTCCTAAAAAAAAAAAAAAAAAAAACGGGGGGTTCAACACCCCTCGGTTCCGGCTGGTACCAAGTGCCCCCGGCTATTTGTGTTCTACACACAAATAAAACCCTTCCCAGGAACGCTTTCCGCGCCATCCCCCAAGGGGAGGCAGGCAACGGACCATGTCCCGGGCCCAGGATTCGACTTCCACAAACGAAACGCTCCCCGCGCTATCCCCCAAGGGGAAGCAGGCAACAGACCATGTCTCGGGCTGAGGGGACGACTTTCAAAACCGAGGCGCTTTCCGTGCTATCTCCCAAGGGGAAGCAGGCAACAGACGATGTCTCGGGCCGAGGAAACGACCCTCAAACCCTTCGGGATATCGGAAGGTCATTCCCGAAGGGGGAGCCAACGGTTTATTCCGTTGCCTCCCATATAGGCCAAGCCTTTCCTAGAAACCAAGTTTCTAGACGCCTCTCCTACACCATTTAAAAAAAAAAAAAAAAAAAAAAAAAAAATGTGTAGGGGGGAAGGAACTCCCCGGATACTATTCTCCCCGGAGGCTCAACACTTCGGATATACATTCCCGAAGGCTCCTACAAAGGCACAAGAAAAGGGCTACACATCCGAAGGCTCCCCTACATAAAGCCTTGGACTACAACGGTTTCCCCGGAAGCCCAAGAAGAGGGCTCACTAAGCAAAACTTCACCTAAATTTGGCTAAGGCCGAAATTCGGGTGGACCAAAGTCAACTACATGACATGCCGAAGGCTCCACAAAATTCAAAGGCAAGCTGAACCTACATCTACCGGGGCCTCATTCAACGATGAAAAAATTTCACTAAGTCCATAATCTTGGACCCCTCGGCAACAGTACACGCCAGTGGCCCAAGCAACTCTCACGCCCGAAGGTCCACTACGGCACCTATGGAAGCTTTGTGGAAATTTACCTAAGTCCACGATGGGGGAGTCCTTCGGGGGCAAAACGGGATACTATCTTCACCAACCTTCGTACAGCCGATGGCCCCCTAATCTACTTGGCAATAACCTAATGCTACACTACGGTCGGGGGCTCGCCACTACCGAGGGCATAGTCACCAAGGACATGATCTAAGTTCTTACTCAGGAAATTTTCTAAGTCCACAGCGGCAAGCCCCCCGATGGTCCTACGCTACGGCCGAGGACTCATGAGTGGGCTTACACTTAGAAAGATTTCTAAGTCCACATCAACAACCTCCGGCTATTCTACAAAACATCCGAAGGGTTCTAATCAAGTTTTACTTGGAAAACCCCCGGTAATTCTACGCTACAGCCGAAGGCTGCGGCCAAGTTCTACTCAGAAAATATTCTAAGTCCACAAAGTTTTGCCCTCTGCTAAACATACAGAAGGAAACAAAAGCATACATTCATACACGAAGGCAGCAAAGTGAAACACAAGCGCAAAAAGGCGAAAGCATACATTCAAGTTCAAAGTAAAGGAAGCATTCATTCATACAAAAGGCCCGAAGGCACACCATTCATTCAAAAGAAAAGTATATTCGTCATCGGAAATATTCGGAGTAACAAGTGTTTGGTTACATGTGGCCGGAGCCGAAGTTTACAATTACAAAAATATTACAGAAAATCTTAAGTGTCAGCTACTTGGGAGACATCCTTCAGCTCGGAGGAGGCATCACCCTCGTCATCGTCAGAATCACACTTGGCAAGTTCGGAATCCTCAAGTAGCTGCCTCTCTTCACCCTCAGGGAGGGGGACCCTCACATCCGGCAGGAGGGGGGGGAGGCCGTAGGCTTCAGGTTGAAACTCCTTCGGATCTACGCTGTGGTGCCGAGCAAGCCTCCGGTATAGCATAGCCTGAGTAAAGTATTGGGCGCCCTCGTAAAAACTTTTCCCCTTCAGGGCCAGCCACATCGCCCCGGGGCCCTTTACCCAGGCATCCGCTTTGGCCTCAACTACCGAGGCCACCCACTGCTGGTATTCTTCGGCCTTCCAGCCATCGGCAACGAAAGAAGCAACGGCGTCCTCGGTGGCTTTGGCGACGGCATCGGCTTTGGCCTTGTCAGCTTCCTCGGCGGCTGCTTTGGCGGCTTCGGCGGCAGCTTTCTCTGCTTCAGCCTTCCCGTTAGCGACTCCCTCGGCCCTAGCCTCATTTTTGGCAGCCTCTAGCCTCTGCTCAGATTGCCGAAGGGCCTCCTCCAGACCGGCCAATTGCCTGATGGCCTCGGTGTTATTGGCAATCAGTTTCCGCATGGCCTCCTCGGACCTCGCCCTCTCAACGCGGCGCTGTTCCGCCCTCCTGACCATCTCCCCGAGGGCAATGCTCGACTGCAAACAGATAAAGGAGCACTCGGGATCAAATGATGCAAGGATAGGGAAACACGGGACAAAAGTTAAGAAAGGGAAAGGCACTTACCGTGACCGAGGCTTGAAGGGCTTTGAGCTCGAGAGACTCGTCCTCGAACTTGCCGAGGGTTGATCGATCCAGCGAGGGAGTGGCGCCCCTCAGGAACTCCCTCGGATCAAGGGTGCCATGCATAATAGCTGTCCCCTTCTTGATGGGGAACTGCACCTTTTCCAGGGGCCAAGCCCCCTCGCCAAGATCCACTGGGGGGAGGGAATCCGAGGGCTTACCCGAAGGGGGTTCATCGATAATCACCAAGGGGGCATCCCTGCCCCCCTCGCCCCTCTTCTTTTTCTCCGGGGGCAGGACACCCTTCCCGGCATTTTTTCTCTTTAGCTCCCCGCCTTGGGAGCCTCCGGCACCAGCACCGGAATCAGCATTGGGTTTCTGGAGGGGGTCCCCACCCTCCGGGACCTTGGGAGCCCCTGCCTTCTTCAACACCGCGTCAACAGGAGGCTGGTTCGCCGAGGACCCCTCCTCCTTCTTCTTCCTTGGCTCCTTGGCCAGCTTCTTGGTCAGCTTGGCGAACGCCTTCGGATCCATAATATCACCTGCACAAAATGAGGAACGGTTAGAACCGCAACAAATGAAAGGAAAGTTTTCTAAGTACCAAAAATCAAAGCCCTCGGCAAACAACCTCTGGAGTTTAAGTACCCACGATCGATCAGGGGATACTTCTCATCTTTATCCCCCGGAAGGCGATACCTCCGGAAGCCCAGCAGGTACAGATCCTCGGCCAATGTGGCCTGCTTGATGGCGATGACTTTATCCGAGCCCTCGGGTTTCTCCATCAGCTTCTTGCCGGCCTTCTGGAGGGCCGCACTACCCACCTTCGGGTGTCTCTTGAAGTGATCCCGCAGAACCCCCGGGAATGGATTCTCCGCTATCCTGACATAGCAAAACTTCTCCTTCCAATCCTTGTGAGACGAAGGAGTCTCGGAGAAAAGCTTCCAGGCAGGGACCTGCTGTAGATTCGCGTACCCGCAGGCATGAGAGTGCCCCCCTCGGCACAAGTTGAATGAGAGGAAAAACTGCTCCAACGTGGCCTCCACCTTCCGGCTTCGGCATAGAGATAGGAAGCCCGCCAGGTAGTAGTGGCTATTCGGGGTGAGCTGGCAGGGGGCTAGCTTCACGTACCTGAGGTACTCGAGGACGAAGGGATGAAGTGGGAACCTGAGGCCCAACTCCACCGACAGCATATGCACGGAAAAACAACCCTCCGGAGGATGGGATAGGAGGTCATCAGGCCCCGGTTCCACCACTTGTGCCGACGGCCCCACGAGGACCTGAAGAGCTTGATACTCCGCTCCCGAGGCTGTCGTTTTCACTTCGAGGGCGGCGGTGTCCAAATAGGAGTGACCCTCGGGAATTCCCACCGGCTGCCCGGCGTCGACGGCTGCCATCTTCTTCTTGGGAGCAGCCCTCGACTTCTTCTTCTTTTTGGCGGGGGCAACATTCAAAGGTTCCGGATCTAAGGGCCGGGAACTGCTCGCTCCACCGGCGCCGCGGGAGGGCAGCACCGCAACCGTGACTGCCTGCCTCTCCTTCTCCTCTTCCTCTTCGGCGACTTGGAGAGCGAGGGCCATCTCCTCGTCTGCCACCACCTGTTCGAATTCCTCCGCCTCTAGCTCAGTGCGGAGTTGGCCTTGGACCTCTTCAGCTATCACGGCGTCGTTTCCTGCCGATGGCTGCTCACTGGATGATTCCACACTCGAGTAGCTCTCCGATTGCGCCGGGGCCTCCTCCGATATGTTTTGGGAGTCACTGCCGGAAGACATCTTGACGGAGGAGAAGGGGAACTATCTAAACGTTTTAACCGAAGGCCCCTAAAAGTCACTACAACTAAACCTGAGAAACTAGCAAAGTGTGCTAAGAAAGTCGGAAGGCTGGGGAAGTACTGACCTCAGAATTCGGTTGGGATCGAGGGTGAAACTTTCTCTCTCTAAAAATTTCGGCAGAGCTTCGCTTCAATTCTAAAACGCGCAAGAACAAATGAGCTCAGGCTCAGGGTATTTATAGGCAGTGGGCCTCGAGAACTGGGCCTCAACTCGAAAGCCCATCATTACGGGCCGCCGGTTCAACCAATGGAGGACAGCCGCTCCCTTCAGCCAGTGAGGAGACGCCACGTCAACCCCTCCTCCAACGGCTATATTGCAACGGCTATATTTCAGAAGCACTGGAGTGCCCTCGAACAATAGCCTCCGGCTATTGCTCACCACAGCACCCTGCCAGCAAATCTCACCAAGCGCCTTCGAGTCCGCGGCGGCGTAAGCCCCCGGCATGTCGACATTGTTACCCCTCGGGATGGCACCATCACATCATAACTCCTTCGGCCCGAACTAGCCTTCGACCTAAAGGAGTGGGGGACTGGGATACACCCCTCGGGGATCATATACAACAAAAAAAAATTTTCCTTAGAAACAAACAAACGCGTGCAGCCTCCGGACAAACATCAAAGTGGGACCCCTTCGGCAGAGGCAGGATATCACAAGTTTTCCCCAAGTCACTTGCGGAAATGAAGCAGCCCTCATCGCAACACATGCAAGCAAAACATCTATGCTTTCCTCAGAAAACCCTCGACGTGTGAGGGACTGAGGGGGAGCCCCCGGCGAACATGCGAAGGTTACGAGTACCTTCCCTCAGAAAACCCTCGACATGTGAGGGACTGAGGGAAGCCTTCGGCAATCAGCATAAAACAAGTTCTCCAGCAAAAGCACCCAGCGAAATGGTGAAGCCTCCGGAAGAAGCAACACATCTACTCCTTTTCCCTCAAGTACCTTTCGGCAAAAGGAGTGAGGGACTCCTGATGGAGTATATGGCCCAGGAACCCCCGGCCCATAGACTCCTACTTCTCCTACACAAGTCCATTGAGCCCAAGAAACAACTCAGGCCCAAATACAACGGCCCAAGCCTCAAAGTAGCCCAGAATACACACTGGGGTGCCTTCGGCCTCGTTGGCCGAAGGCTCCAAAACTCACAGGATAGCCTTCTCTGGCATAAGAAACTGCTGGGAGAAAAACGAGCGAAGACATGAGCCTTCGGCATTCTCATGCCCTCGGCACCAGGGGAAGCCTTCGGCTGAACCAAGCCCTCGGCTACACAATAAGCCTTCGGCTGAACCAAGCCCTCGGCTACACAATAAGCCTTCGGCTACACAATCAGCCCTCGACTACACAGGGAGCCCTCGGCTACACGAGGAGCCTTCGGCTGCACAAGCTCAATCATCGAAGATTCCTTTTAGAGACAGCCAACCACCGCATTTAATGCCACGTCACATCCACCAACCGCAATCAATGCGGTGGACGTACCCCTGCCGGCGCCAACCGGCCGATGTGACCCTTCGGCCGTTGGATTACTGACACGTGTCCTCTGATCGCATTTATTGCTGCTATAAATAGCAGCCCTTATTCTCCTTGTAAACCACGCTGAGTTCATTTAATAAATCGACTCTCTCTCCTCCTATTTTGCTCTGACTTCTCTCTAGTTATTCCCGCAATAACCCCTCGGATAAGATACCCCCCGGGTAGACTATCCATCAGTTATGATCCGTGGCGGAGCCAAAAAAACGTGTAACGGGTCAATATTTAATCATATACAGGGCAACCCCGACAAATAGAGGACCCTGTGCATAATAAAACAGGAGGGCCTAATATGCTTTGTAGAACTTAATCTCTTATGGCCAGGCAGCAACAGACTTTGTGTAAATGGCTGGATTTTTTTTCTAACGGGCCTATTGTAATATACTGTATATGCTAATAAAATTGGGGTGTTCTTGAAAATCATGGCCCTGTAGAGTTGCACCTGCTGCATATGGCCTAAGCCGGTCCGATTATTTACAGTATCGAAATGATGGATCGTTATTAAAAAATAATATTTGAGTTAAATGTTCCATATGTAGTTTAGATCAATGGTAGTTTAATGAGACCTAATAAGTTATTGTATTGATATATATGTCATTTATTATCAACTTCACACAACTAATGAGTGAATAAGGTGTTTTATTTTTAAATTTAAGAATATAATTAATACCACATATCACATTTTGCTCATTTCTAAGATTATGTTGATTTTTTCAGGAGTCATAACGTTTTACTCTAATGAGTTACGAAACCCATAATATATCAAATCGAAAGTATTTTAGAATTCTACTTTTTAAATTATACCGTATAGGCGTTATTTTAGGAAAAGAATATTCAATTCATACATGTGAAAAGAGGTAGTTTTAGTCATATCTAAAACTACAAATAGGGAAAGCGATGTGGTGCTACTGTAAAAGGGGGTGAAACTCCCCTAGCTAAGCACTTTAAGAAATAGTCTTTATATGAGAATAAATCTCAGTAATGTATCGTGATTTTCATGGCTAAAAAGCTTCCTTGAGAAATAAAAAGACTTCGAATAAATGTAGCTGATCATGAGTCAAAGTAGGCATGGACCGGGCCCGAGCCTGACGCGCTTTTTTGGGGAAAGGTGAGGCCCGGAACCGGCCTGATTATCCACCGGGTCCGGGCCGAGCCTGGGCCGGTTCATTTTTTTTTTTTTGCATTTCTAATTAACCCTGACCCCCACCTCTCACCCCCCAAACCCCCCCAAAACACCCAGCCCAACCCGGGAAAAACAAAAAAAAAAGGCCTGAACCAGCCCCGGCCGGTTCCTATTTTGGCTTACCCGAGGCCGCCCTATGTAACCCCCGGGCCAGGCCTACCCGGACCAGTCTCTGGCCCGGTTACCAGGCTGGGCCGGTTCCAAATAGTGCCGAGCCAATTCCAAAGAGTGCCGGGCCACGGGCCGGTTGGCCTGGAACCGGTCCATCCCTAAGTTAGAGTGATATGGTCTGTGAAGTGAGTTACATGTACATTTGCAAATTCCTCTTATATATTTGACTTCAATACCAACTTCTAAGTCAGGTCGCGATTCTACAGAGCATATCCAGAGCATAGTACCACCACGATTTAAGCTTTCATTTCAACAAAAATGGCGGACGCTGACAACGATGTTGCGACGGGACTGCCAAAGAAGAGAACGTTCAAGAAGTTCAGTTACAGAGGCGTCGATCTCAATTCTCTCCTCGACATGCCCACTGATGTTCTCGTCAATCTCTTCCCGGCCCGTCAACGCAGAAGGTTTAAGAGAGGCTTGACGAGGAAGCCACTCACTTTGATTAGGAAGCTCCGGAAGGCGAAACTTGAGGCTCCAACTGGTGAGAAGCCAGAGCCAGTCAAGACCGACTTAAGGAACATGGTAATTGTTCCTGAGATGATTGGGAATGTGATTGGTGTTTACAATGGAAAAACATTCAATCAGATTGAGGTGAAGCCAGAGATGATTGGGCACTACTTGGCTGAGTTTTCAAGCTCATACAAGCC